TCGGCGGGGGCCGTTGGCTGTCGGGCTCCCCGGGGGGACGCAAGACTCGGGTTCGGGGGACTCGGGTTTTGGCCTGACAGGGCCATCATGACAACGACGAGGCCCAGCCTGAAATTTGACACCCCACGAGAACGGGACCGCCCAAATCTGGGAGGCGCTCGCCAAAGAGCGTCGGCAAACCCGTGTCCCGGCGCACTCGAGTCTTACGTTTCCCCGACCCTCGGAGGGCGGAGGCTATTTGGAGGGAGCGTCGCCCAGGGGAGGAGGAGAAGGATGATGATGATGACGATGATGATGATGAGGAGGAGGAGGAGGAGGAGGAGGAGGAGGAGGAGGAGGAGAAGGAGGAGGAGGAGGAGGAGGAGGAGGAAGCGCTGCGCCGCGCGCGGTGTCTCTCGCCCCTCTGCGGGGGAACCGCTGGCTGTCGGGCTCCGCCTCGCCCCTGGGAGCTGCCTGGCCGCCTCGGGCGCGCTGCCCGGGCGCTGCTCCGGAGCCTGGGGAGCGTTGCCCGGGAGCTGCGCGCTGTGCACGGGCCCAGGGAAGCGCTGCGGAGGAGCGCAAACGCTGCCCTCGGCGGTATACGGCGGCTTTCCGGCGGCTTGTCGGATGCCTTCGGCGGCCCGTCTGAGCGACGCCCAGAAACGGGTCTTACATAGCAACCATGTGCAACACAGCGCCTGTGTACACCACAATGCTTGCGTGAATTATTGATCATCGAATGGAGCCTTTTTCTCTCCTCCGTCCTCCTCCCCCTCCATTTCCAATTCCATCTCCAACTCCTCCTCCTCCTCCTCCTCCTCCACCATCTCCTCCTCATCCTCCCCCTCCTCCTCCACCATCTCCTCCTCCCCCCCCTCCTCCCTCATCTTTCCCCCTGTCGTGCGGGCGGACGCTACAGCGCACGTGCGCATCTCAGCGTGCACTGCGGAATGGTCTGTTGAATTAATCAATTTGGTTTTCCGGATGGCCAATTCTGCTGGGTCCCCCTAGACGCATATGGGATGAGTAAGGATGATGCGGGAGGCCTCGTAGATTCCGCTGGCGCTCCTTTTTCCAAACGCATTCCTTTCCAAATCCTAGATAAATGTTCTGTGGAATCCACAGGCGCTCCATTTTGTCACAAGGACTCCTTCTAAAGTTCTATATGCAAGAACTGTGCTCTATTGCACACGGTTGCTGTGGTGCACAAATCGCGCCGTGGTGTACACAGGCGCTGTAGTGCACGCAGGCATTGTGGCACAGACTAGGGCTGTGTTGCACGCGGCTGCTGCGGTGTACATAGGCTGTGTTGTGTACACAGGCGCTGTGGTGCTCGCAGGCACTGTGGTGTACACAGGCACTGTGGTGCGGATTGCCACCTACATGCTGCTGCTACCCTTCCTCGGTCATTCCTAAGTGTTCCCAGACGCAGCCGGCGCGAAACGTGACGTCCTCGGCCCCGCCCCCCCCCGGATGACGGCCGTCATCGGCCCGAAATGCAAAAACTGGCTCCAGCCGCGTCCGCGCGCGCGACGACGATGAGCGACGAGCGACGAGCGACGAGCGACGAGCACGAGCACGAGGACGACCGCGACGACTGCGGACCAGACCACTATGCGGATTCCTTTGCGGACGCCTATGCGGATCCCAATGCGCACGGCGGCAGTGCCCGGGGCACATAGGGAGGGAGGGTGGCCGGGGGCTATAACGCCCGTTATGCCCAAAGCAATCAAGAAACACGCTCCATAGTGACCTCACGCGGTGGCGCACGCGGGCCGCCCGCGCGAGACGCTACCTTGGAGACGAGGGCGCTTACGCGCGAGCTCGCGCGGGAAGCTCACGCCCCAATGTCGGCGCTTCTGCGTCGCCCATTTGGACGCCTGCGGAAGCCGTCGGAGGGCTTCTGGGAGGCACTCGGCGGCCTTCTAAACTGCAACCGTGCCTTCGGGAGCCTTTGGCGGCCTCCAGAGAGCCTTCGAGGGTCTTAGGACCTTCCTGGAGGGTTCCAGAAAACTCGGCATTTGGATGACAACTACCTCACAAGGAGGTGGCTTGTATAGGCGAAGAGCCAGGCTCAGCAGACTCCTGGCCATCACACTGTCACCATCCAACCGTCGTCCGTGTTCTGACTACCACGGTTGCTCGTCAACCTGGAAAGTCAGGTTCCCAGCCCTGGAAACCCCGTCATCCATCCGCAGGTGTGGTGGTAACTTTTGCCACCGAAGGGCAACACAAAACTACCACCACCCCACCGACGAGTGATAGGAACAATGAAATCGTGAATAGAGAGGGGAAACGGAAGATGAATAATGAGGCAACAATGCTCAAACTCATAGAGACGCCATTTGCAAGCTCGAATACAGGCAACTCATGGACTACGGCGTAGGGAGTGACAAATCCTCGCTCGCCGCCCCAACCCAATCTCAATAACAAGGCGGAAGTAGGACCGATCATGCAACATCAAACGACGTGGAAACGAAGAGGCAATGGGGGGCGCGCATATCAATTTTGACTCCCCCAGGCAATGGGAACTGTGGTGCTGCTAACCAGCCTCGAGCGTATCCCTACCGATAGGACCACCCTACGGATGATAAGGAGGTTTGGGGGGCAAAGGGGAGGCGGTCGATGTGCGATGACTCCCACCTGCCGCCACCACAGATTGTGCGGGCAAATAGATACCACCTACTTCCGCGCTTGCTTCTAACTTTTATATATGTATATATGTATATACACATTTACACAAACATTGTTCCATGCATCTATGTATCAATCAATACATCTATCTATCAATCTATCGAGTCGATAGATCAACCAATCGGCCTATCGACCCTAATCAATCAATCAGTATCCGCCGGCCCCCTTGTGGGGCCTCCAGGCTGAGGGCCACGGTTTGCTGTTCCCTGCGCCAGTTGCAGTTTCCAGTTTTCACTGTTACAGTTCTGCTTCTTGCTGGACCGCGCCAGGGGTGGGGGGGGGCGAGAAGGAACCTAGTTACCACGCCCGAATCGCGTTGTCTGTCTTCCTGGGGGGGGCGTGGGACACGTAAAAGTATATGAAATTCGCGCCCCCGAGGCCGTAAACCCTAGTCAATTACACCAAGTTCGCGTCCCCGAGGCCATAGACCCTCGTGAACTACACCACATCCGCGTCCCCGAAACTATAAGCCCTCGCAAAATACGCAATGTTCGTGTCCCCGAAAACATAAACCCGGGTACATTACCCAATGCTTGCGTCTCCGAGGCCACAACCACTTGTAAACCATACAGTATTCGCGTCCCCGAAGCCATACACCTTCGTACATTACTTAAGGTTCGCGTCTCCGGAGCCATACACCTGCGTAAATGACGCAACAGTTGCGACCTCGAAACCATACACCCTCGTAACTTACACGATCATCGCGTTTCGAAGCCATACATCCTCGTACATTGCGCAAGGTTTGCCTCTCCGAAGCCATCAACCTGCGCAAATTACGCTAACTTGCACTGTGTTTGCGAGCCCGAAGCCATACACCCTCGTCAATTACGCGCTATTCGCGTATCCGAAGTCATAAACCTTCAAAATGCAACACCGAATTCAACAACATCATCCGAATCTCAATTTGTCTTGCCGACTACTCATCGTCTTCGCGTGACGTCCCGACGCTGCTTCACGGCGGCGCCAAGGCCTCATGACTTCGCTCTTGCATTGCCCATTCTCCGAGAAGAGGGGGCCGGCGGCAGGGGGCGAAGCCCTTACGGACATCTATCAAGTCGATCTCGAGTCGACCCATCAACCAAGGTCTATCTATCGACCTACCTATTGGGACAACCATCGGGGCAACCTGCCGCTTGTATTCCCCAACCTCCGATCTATCTATCCAGCTATAAATTCGCCTGTCTGTCTATATATGTACACATCCACCTACCTCTCTATCGGTCTATCCATCTATCTATGCTCTATCTATACATCCATCTGTTTATCGGGACAACCATCGGGACGACCATCGGGACAGCCATCGCGACAACCATCGGGACAACCACTATCCATCGGGACAACCATCGGGACAACCATGGCGAAAACCATGGGGTCAACCATCGGGAAAACCATAGGGACAATCATCGGGACAACCATCGGGACAACCACGGGACATTCGCGGGGCAACCATCGGGACAACCACGGGACAACCACGGGACAACCGCGGGAGAACCACGGGACAACCGCGGGACAAGCGGGACAACCACAGGACACGCGGCCGCAGGGGGGGGGCCCTTTGGGTTCCATATGGCCTCTACAAGTGCAGGAACTCGCGCAGCTTCGCCTCGCCCGCACGCACGACACGAACCGAATTTGAAACCGATTTCCCGGTTGGGGTCGCTTCCGTTCACACCCCCCAACCTCCGATCCTTCAGATTCACAAGCCCAAAGGCGATGACACTCTTAGGGATGCGCCCTCAGAAGCTGTGGGAATCCTCAGAGCGGTATCGAAATGGGGTCATAGATATACTCCAGGCTAGAAAACTGTGGCCATCTTAACCCTGCGAACGGAGAGGGCTGCTGGAGACCTCTGGAGGCATGCGGGAATCTCCGAAGATCTGGAAGCTTCCCAGGACATCTGGAGGCCGTCGTCGTCGCGGGAACCCCTGCCCCGCCTGCCATCACCTCTTCTACGAGGAAGATGAAGACGTCTCGACTCGACCCACCCTCGCGGTCCATGATCCTTCTGACTCACGAGTCCCGTGGCGCGTGCTGCGGCAACTGTCCTGGACTAGGGCAGGAGTACGGGGGGAGGCAACATGATCCAACTTCGTATGGGAACATTGAGTCAGCCATCGAAATATCGAATCTGCAGAAATAGTCAACGGACATATCTGAAGGCATCGGAACCGACGTCCGCAGGCCAACGCCGAGGCATACACGAAGAAAGCCAAACCAAAGTCGGAATCTAACATCGAATCGAATCGAAATCAGAATCCGCGAAGCCGCACCGATTCGAATCGAGAGAATCGAAATGGCTCGTGGGGAGGGGGGAGGAGGGATTCATTTTCCTGCGCGCGGCGTGGGGTGGCCGGGCTTTCCTCGAGGTCGGAGAGCACTCAGGCACCCCCCCCGATCTGGAGGCGGCGCTTGGCCATCTGCTTCTTGGTGAACTTCTTCGGCTTCGTCTCCTCGGCGGGAGCCTCCACCGACTCGTCCTTCTCCTCTAGGATCATCTCGATGTGGCACGGGTTTGACATGTACGGCCCGATGCGTCCGTGGGCCCGGTAGGTTTTGCGCCGGCCCTGCTGTGCGGGGTTCACCTGGACTTAGGTCGGGCATGTCCTCCCACAGGCGGCTTTGGCAGAACAGTTGATAAAATAGCCAAACAAATCAGAGCAAACATCAACAGAGCACAAATAATCGTCCCCAGACTATTTCCTCACCATTCCTGGATATTACTCCTGTACACAGGACATACCCGACTGAAGCCTGGATGTGCTTGACGAACAGGTTGTCCGTGTCGAGGTTCTTGAAGTCGGCGTTGCTCTCCGCGTTCTGCAGGAGGCCCAGCAGGATCTTCGCAGACTTCACCGGCCACCGGCCCTGCGACATCTTGAACGCCTTGCGGGGGCGTCCAGGAGGGGGGCGTCCGAGAGGGGGCGGCTCAAAGCATGACCGGCGTCATGTGCGCCGCCCAGGGGGGTGGGGCGGGAGCGTATTGAGATAAGAAGAAGCGCCATGAAATCTGGGGAGATCTCATGAACTCTGGGGAGATCCCATCCACCCCCTCTTGACCGCCCCCGAGCCTTCGCTTGGGGGGTGCGCCCGATGCAGCCGGTGTACTTCCTGAAGGGGACGCACTGCTTCTTCTCGCACACGTCCTGGAGGTACGCCTGCGCGGCCTTCAAGTTCATGCCCTTGATCGCCTGGGCGGCCTCGTACGTGTTCTTGTAGTGGACACGGAGGTCCACGCCCTTGGCCTTGCAGGCCTTGCTGGGGTTGGCCGCCTCCCTCGAGTACTTGCCCATCTCTCCCCCGGCTTGCGCGGCCTCGGCGCGCTCGCGCTTTCCGCCCCGAAGGCCCTGAGCCAGACCAGCTTGCGCCAAAATGGCTTGTGAAAGAGGAGGTGCCGGGCAGGGGGATGTGTGGGGAAAACGGCACGGGATAGTTTTTTTTAATATTATTTCTGGTGACGTGCCTTACAATTGGGAGGGTGCGGGGAGGTTGGGCCTAGGGTGACGGTAGCGCTTGGGCGGAGTGGGGCACGTCGGGGCGGGCGGGCGCTGCGATCGCCATCGTGTGCGCGCGAAAACCAGCATGTCGGGAGGGGTCCAAGCCCCCCCTTCCTGCGTACGATCGTTACCGTTACCCGGGTTGGTGGGGTGGGGGAGGGCTTTGGCCCTAGTAACGTCGGTTACGCGCCAGAGGATAACAGAAATAATCTCTCGGGGGAAGAAGATGGAGAAGGGTGTCACGCAGCTGGGAATGGAACGGACGATCATGTCGCTAAACAGCGGCTCGATGAGGGGTCGCCGATGCTGATATCCAAGCTCGCAACTCGGACCGCGGGTTCTAGATTCGGTTTCTGTCACGAGCTAAGCTTGCTTTCCTGGCAAGCCTAGCTCGCCAGGCATGCCCTTGTTGCAAGCATGTTCCGAAAAGCTTGTTTGCAAGCCCGCCACGACTGCCCCTGTAGGGGGCTGCCAGGGGCCAAACCTGCACATGGGCGTGGCAGCAGGACAAAGAATGTGTGACGGAATCCTCCTGAAAAACGCCGATGACTTGCCCTGGACCCCTCCAAGTTTCCAGAAAACTGAACTGGATGGGCCCGTTGAAAATCTGTCAAGGGGGGGGGATCAGATCAATCCGCTCAGAATCGGTCTCCAGACCCCTCCTGGGGTCCACCTGGCGCAATTGTTCACCCCGCAGCCGTTTTCGACGGTCCCAGGGCCCGACAAAAACGGCCTCCAGAAACTACACAACAAAACAACAACCTTTTCGAACCGGGAACCTCGAACCTCTGGCCAGAGCCCATGCTGGGCAACCTCAGACCCCAGCTGGCAGCTGGCTCCGACACAGGAGGGCGTAACGTCTCTTGGACTGGCTCACTACAGAGCGCTGCGCACTGTGCGGCCAGGGCCCTGGAGCCACACCAGAACGCGTGCGTGGCCGACGATCAAAAACGGGCCTTGCGCGAGATGTTGACGAAACCTTACGCGGTGGCTCACGCGGGCCGCCAGCGCGGCACGCTACATTGGAATCGAGGGCGCTTGCGCGCGACACTACGCGAGCAACTCAAATCGAATCCGTGTTTTCTTAGTCGCTCACGTGGCCAGAAGTTGGAGTACAATGTGGGACCTGCTCTAGAACAGGAACACACCGTAGACGGATCTACCCTTTCTCCGACCTTGCACCGCGCCGAAGCCGAACGCAACGGCCACATTGTCCATGGGACGTACCCCCCCGAAAGTGTCTTTGGACGTCACGGCACCCAATGTTCCCATTGACGCTTTTGGCCAGAACGTGCGAACGGTGGCATCGGCCCCAGATTTGGTCTTCCAGAATTAGGTCGGGCATGTCCTCTCCGACAGAGCGATTCTGGATGAAAATCCAAACATATTCAAACATACGCAATAGTCGCCAAACCAGACTAAACATCGGCCCCAGAGTTTTGCTGTACTATTCTCCGATATTCCTCCTGTAGGGGGACAGGCCCGACTCAATTCCAGCAGCATCGGGGATGGACAGACCCCCCTTATAGTAAAACGTGGTTTAAGAAAAAACGACCCGAGGCCCAAACCTGGCGGGCGCAGGCCTGGAAAATAACGGCCACGGCGCCCTCCCGAGAACCGAAGACTGACAATTCGCTAATCGACGTGTCACTGTTGGGGGCTATGTCCACCCCCGACAGCATCGGGGATCTTCTGACCCGGGTCAATCCAAACCCGGGTTAATCAGGCCTGCAAAATCCTGCAAGATCCTGCACCCAAACCCGGGGTCAGTGCGAAGGACCCTGCAGGATCCTGCAGGATCCTGCACCCAAACCCGGGTCAATGCGACCCTGGCGCAGCAGGATCCTGCAAGATCCGGCGCTCTGGCTGACCCCCGTCTGCACTGACCCCCGTCTCGAGGCCCCCGAGCAGTTCAGTTGAGCGCCTCCTCCTCCTCCTCTTCTCCTCCTCCGCCTCCTGCTCCTCCTGCCTTTTTTCTTAGCCGAGCTCCGAGGCGGTCCTCCGCCTGTAGCGTCAGTGAGCGCCTGCCCTGGCGCCCCCTCCCCGAACTTACGGGAGGCAGCCAAGCCAAGCACTCGAAGGCAAGCCATGCACCTGCACAGTATGGAGGACACCCTCCTGGCAAGGCAGTCGCAACCTGGAGCTGGCGGGTACGCACAACGGACGGTAACATCAACAACAAACCACGACCTTCGCCAGCTCCAGAATGCGTCTCTCAAACGGGCTGAGCGCGAAAGAGGAAGAACAAGGTGAGGTAGAACAATGCTGTGAAGAGGGAGAGGACAAGGCTCGCCCCTGGTGGCACGCCGCCAGGACGACGAGTGAGATCAGCACGAATTGGGGGACGGGGAGGCTTGGGGTGGCGCTCGACGGTTTGTTTCGCCCGCCTTACCACTTGCGCCGCCCGTGCCCACCCCGTCCCCTGCAAAAGGCCACACGGCCCCCCCTTGGTCGGCCCCTCGATAGTCCACCTACTCCTTGGTAGCGCAGAACACGAGTAAGACCTTCGTACACGAGGGGCCGCCAAGGGGGTAGCGATACGATTCCTCCACCTCCACCAGCCTCCAGTCTACGAAGAACCTCCACACCTCCTCCCAGGCGCCTCGAAACTCAGCGAAAAAGACCTTGAAATGAGGTCACCGAGCTCTCAGCAGAAACAGTGCCAGTCGAGCAAGTCATGGACTGTCATCCCTGCTCGGGTAGCCGACCTTCCAAGAACGAGAACGTGGCGCTCCTGGTCGGGGGGCTGAGACGAGGGAGGGCGGCTGTGGGGCTCACCGCCCACCGCCTCGTGCACCAAGCATTTGACCGCCAAGGGATTGGACGAGGGGACAAGACATCGAATCGATCGCCACCATCGCCATCAAGAGGGGGTAAGAACTCAAGTCGCCGCTGTCCGACAGGCCGCTGAAGCAGCCAGCACAGGGATGCTAGCGTGCGCCAGCGCCCGAGCAAGCACGCGCGAGAGACCTACTGGCCATTCACCAGTGCCGTTCTCAGAAACAGCTGCATGAGCATGATGGTCGCAACGATATCTGGAATAGTGACCACTCAGCTCCAGCTCCAAGTACATGTGCGCAGTAATCAGCGTGACTGCACCAAGTGTAGAGGAGCCCATCATGCACAAATCAATGCGACATTCTTCCAAATACTTCCCAATCGAAGAGGCAATCAAGTCTACGGCACCCATAATATTAGACAGTAAACCAGACGGGGAGATAAAAGCCGCTGGCACCCCTGTGAACGATGCAGCCTCAAGCAACCTCCAACTTGATCGCAAGTAGTTGTTCTCGATTAAAACTGTCCGACGTGCATCTTCACCAAGCTGGGGTAGGCCCCAGGGATGGTCAACAGATCTTCGGGGGCGTGAAACACCAGGCTGCCCGTCAAACTGAGTCCATGATGCCAACAACGGAGCCAGTACGATTGCCAGGACCCTGCCCTGACACATATCGTCCACAATCACATCTATTGACTTCTGAGCCAGGAGAGTGCGTTCGCCATCGTCGCCAAATAAAGGAATACGCACCACTTGTACCGACTGACCCAAGAGCTGCTGTAGCCAAGTGCATACATCAGTTGCCGTCACATCCCAACCACCAAGATAGTAGAACTTCATCGGGTAACAGCACGCGACTCTCAATCGCCTCAGAGGTGGGACTGGGGGCCGAACCTCAATCCTCACTGCTGGCGGTGAGACTGGGTAATACGGATCTCCTCGACCTCCACCATGTACAGTCCTCACCGCATGCTTGAAGACTCGTCGATAATTATAACCACGGTGTACCAAATCTCGTTCTCGAACTAAATCCTCTTGTCGCAACTGTTCTGCTTCAGCGGGCATCAACATGTCTCCGTTCAACTCGAGCCAGCGAACACAGCGATTACCTGTTCGACGTAGATGGCGTAGGAGATTCGAGCGGTCCCCGAATCGTGTACCGCAGGCACCGCACTGCGTTCCACGAGCCACTCGTTGCGCAAGGTCTATCGGCTGGTGATCTAACTGATGTTTCCTCCAAGCACCCTTCGATATTGTACACCAACCACACTCGTAGCACACAAACTTGTCCTCGTGAGAGACCTGGGCGTCGATGCCAACACGAGCTCCACTCAGTAGTCGGACCCAACAGCATACCTGCAGCCGCTCCAGCTCCGACGATTCGAAGAGTCTCCACGCACGCTTGACTGCATTACGAAAATCCTTCGGATGCGACGATGCAAACTGGAACCAACGCGGAAGCGACCAATCGTGTCTTGAACCTTCCTTGTCGAAACTCGCCAACCATTCTAGATCAGACGTAACTAATGAGAGCCAGGAAACAGCCAGCGAAGCAACTTGATCAAGTAGACACCACAAGGCCTGGGGAGCCTGAGGTAGCAGTGATCCGAAGTAAACCAACCGCTTCTTCCGCATAAGATGCTCGAACCTTACCCTTCTGGCTGCCGAAAGTACTTCGTCGTCGGTGAAACGCTGGGAGTGACCGCTGTGTAGTCGGCCCTGGACAGCCCGATATGCTTGCAGTCGGTGTCCATCCAACTTGTGCAACAGCGTACTTGGAACATGTTCCCAAACCTCCACTAAGTACATCAGGTGGACGTTGGCCATCGTATCCACAAGGTTCGTCTTGGCGGGCAGTGACATGTGGCTGAACCTCGAGCACATTCGGCGGATAGGTCCGAGAGCAGAAAATTGCTTGCTGATAGAATGTGCGGCACGCGGCCCGAGAAGACCCCGGTGGTCGAGCATAGTGCCCAAGTACTTGTAGTTGCGTACCACCGAGACTTTGAGACCAAAGCGTGGCGATATAATCGATAAATTGTCACTGGCTTCCAACTTCTGTCGCAACTCAGTATCATGTTGTGGTCCAGGAATGATAAATAAG